TTCCCCCCCCAATTCCCATTTTCCCCCCCAATCCCATTTTCCCCCCAATCCCATTCCCCCCCCAATTCCCGTTTCTCCCCCCTAACCCCTCTCCCGCCGTTCCCAGGGAGCCCGTTCCAGGTGCCGGTGTCGGACGTGGTGGACGCTTCCCGCGTGTCCTGCGGGGGGCCGGGCCTGACCCCCGGCCACGTCCGGGCCAACGTCCCCCAGAGCTTCACCGTGGACACCTCCAAGGCCGGCGTGGCCCCGCTGGACGTCAAAGTCCAGGGTCCCAAGGGTCAGCAGGGGGGGATTTCCTGCGGTTTGGGGGATTTGGGTGGGCTTTTGAGAGGGCTTGGGGGTTTTTAGTGGGATTTTAAGGGGTTCTGGAGAGGTTTTGGAGTGCTCAGTAGCAGCTCTTGGGACATCCTATGGGATTTTGGGGCTGCCCTGTGGGATTTCAGAGCGTCCTGTGGGATTTTGGGGCTTCTCTGTGGGATTTTGGAGCACCCAGTGCGATTTTGAGGTATTTTGAGGCACCCAGTGGGATTTCAGAGCACCCTGTGGGATTTTGGGGCTTCTCTGTGGGATTTTGAGACACCTTATTGGATTTTGGGGCTGCCCTCTGGGATTTTGAGGCATTTTGAGGTGCCCAGTGGGATTTCAGAGCATCCTGTAGGATTTTGGGGCTGCCCTGTAGGATTTTGGGGCTGTCCTGTAAGATTTCGGGGCTGTCCTGTAGGATTTTGGGGCTGTCCTGTAGGATTTTGAGGCACTTTATGGGATTTTGAGGCACCTTACGGGATTTTGGAGCACCTTACAGCATTTTGGAGCCACCCCACACCAACATTTCGACATTTCCCTTCATCCTCCACCACCTTTCCACCGCTTCAACCCACCCCCACCATTCCAACCTTCCCCAACCTCTGGAACCCTCCCAAAAAAACCCCAAAAACCCCCAGTTCCCCCTTTTCCAGGCGTGCTGGAGCCCGTGGACATCGCCGACAACGGCGACGGCACTCAGCGCGTGTCCTACGTGCCGTCCCGCGAGGGTCCCTACAGCATCTCCGTGCGCTACGGCGACCACGAGGTGCCCCGGAGGTGCGTCCCGGGGGGGGTTTTTGGGGCGCTCCGGAGGGATTTTGGGGTTCCCTGACCTTCTGATTGCTCCCCCAAAAGCCCTTTCAAGGTGAAGGCGCTGCCCACCCACGACGCCAGCAAGGTGCGGGCGAGCGGCCCCGGGCTCAACACCACGGGCGTGCCGGCGAGCCTGCCCGTGGAGTTCACCATCGACGCCAAGGACGCCGGAGAGGGGCTGCTGGCCGTGCAGATCACGGTGCCCGAGGGGGTTTTTGGGGGTCTCGGGGAGGGGTTTTGGGGGGTTTTGGGAGAAGGCGGGGAGGGTTGGAGGGTGGTGGGTTGGGTGGGTTTGGAGGGGTGGTGGTAGTTTTGGGGGTTTTCATTGGGGTGGGGAGTGTTGGGGAAGGGTGGTTTTGGGGTGGAGAGCAGGGGGGAGCCCAGTTTTCGGGGTGGAGAGCGCTGAAGACCCCAATTTTGGGGTGGAGAGCACTGGAGACCCCCAATTTTGGGTTGAGTGGCAGTGGAGATGTCAGTTTTGGGAAGGAGAGCGCTGAAGATCCCAATTTTGGGGTGGGTAGTACTGGAGATGCCCAATTTTGGGATGGAGAGCAGTGGAGATCCCCAATTTTGGGGGTCTTTAGACCCTTCTGGGAATGGGGAAGCACCAGAACCCCCCCCAGTTTTTGGGATGGGACAGTATCAGACCCCCCCGGTTTTGGGGTCTCTCCCAAGGGGAATTTTAGCCAGAATATCAGGAAAACTTCTCCCCTAGAGTGGGATTTTGGACATGGAATCATGGCCCAATATTTGCCCCCAAAACCACCCGGGAGCTCTGGGAGTGCTCGGGATCCTTTTCCCAGCCCTAAAATTCCACCCCACACTCCCAAAACTGCCCAAATTCCCATTTTTTCCACCTCCAAACAGCCCAAATTCTCATTCTCACCTCACCAGGCGTCAAAATTCCCACTTTTTCCCCTCAGGATTCTGAGGAGAAGCCCAAGGGAGCTTTCCCCCACACCCACATGGGAACCCTGCTCCAGGATCCTTTCCTCTGCCTTCAAAACCAACCCCACACCCCCAAACCGCCCAAATTCTCATTCTTACCTCACCAATGGATGAATTTCCTGCTTTTTCCCCTCAGGATCCCGAAGGAAAGCCCAAGAAAGCCTCGATCCGGGACAACCAGGACGGCACCTACACCGTGTCCTATGTGCCAGACATGACGGGACGCTACACCATCCTCATCAAATACGGGGGGGACGAGATCCCTTATTCCCCCTACCGCATCCGGGCCGTGCCCACCGGCGACGCCAGCAAGTGCACGGTCACCGGTGAGCCCCGAAACGAGGGGAAAACCCCCAAAATTGGGAGAAAAAACACCCCCAAAATGGGAAAAAAACAACCGAAAAATCCCGGGGGAACCCCCCCCCCCTCCCCCCGGAATGGGAGGTACCACCTCAGGAGCGGGAGAAACCACCTGGAAACCCCCTCAGGAAACGGGGGGGGGCCACAACGCTGTGGGGAAAGGGGCACGGCTGCACTAAACGGGGGGGAAATGGGGGGGTTTTGGGGGTGTTTTTGGGGGGTTTTGGGGGTCTCACGGCTGTGTCTCACTGGATTTCTTGCTTCTCTGCCCACCCCACCCCACGCCCACCCCCCCCACGCCCACCAACCCCCCCCCCCCCCCCCCCCTCCCCTTCACGCTGTAGTTTCCATCGGAGGTCACGGCTTAGGTAAGAGCACGGCTTGGTTTGGGGAGGGGGAGCATGGCCAAAACCCCCCCTTTGCACCCCAAAATCGAGGCCCCTTCGCACCCCAAAAATGTCCCTGCATGGGGGAGGGGGAGGAATGGGGTGTGGGGGGGGGGGGGGTTGGGGTGGGAGAGACCCAAGGTAAAGAGGGGGAAACCCCCCCCCCCCAAAAAGGTATTGATGAGGGAGCCCCAAACTCAATTAATGATGGGGACCCCCCAAAATTTAATTGTGGGGGACTCCCCCCAACCCATGACCTCAATTAATGAGGGGAACCCCAAATTTAATGAGGGGAACCTCCCACCAAATTTAATGATGGGAGCCCCCCCCGACCTGAATTAATGAGGGGAGAATCCCCAAACTCAATTAATGAAGGGACCCACCACGACGTCAATTAACGAGGGATCCCCTGAACTCATTCTGGGGGTTCCAGTTCCCGTTTTGGGGTTCCAGGTCCTGATTTGGGGCCACCAAAGGGCTTCCGTGATGGTGACCCCAAAGAGGTCCCGTTTTGGGGTTTTTGGTCCCATTTTGGTGCTCCCTGGTCCCATTTTGGACTCCCCAATCCCATTTTGCTGTTCCCCAATCCCGTTTTGGTGCTCCCCAATCCCATTTTGGCACTCCCAGTGCTGTTTCGGTGCTCCCCAATCCCATTCCGGTGCTCCCAGTGCCATTCTGGTGCTCCTGGCACCGTTTTGGTGCTCCCCAATCCCATTTCGGTGCTCCCCAATCCCATTCTGGTGCTCCCAGTGCCATTCTGGTGCTCCTGGCACCGTTTTGGTGCTCCCCAATCCCATTCCGGTGCTCCCTGATCCTGTTTTGGCACTCCTAGTGCCGTTTTGGCATTCCCGGTGCTGTTCCGGGGCTCCCCAATCCCTTTTTGGCACTCCCGGTGCCATTCCGGTACTCCCCAATCCCGTTTTGGCGCTCCCGGGGCCGTTCCGGTGCTCCCCATTCCCATTCCGGTGCTCCCGGTGCCGTGTTGGCACTCCCGGTGCCGTTTTGGCACTCCCGGTGCCATTCCGGTACTCCCCAATCCCGTTTTGGCGCTCCCGGTGCCGTTCCGGGGCTCCCCAATCCCATTCCGGTGCTCCCGGTGCCGTTTTGGCACTCCCGGTGCCCTTCTGGTGCTCCCCAATCCCGTTTTGGTGCTCCCCAATCCCTTTTTGGCACTCCCAGTGCTGTTTTGGCGCTCCCGGTGCTGTTCCGGTGCTCCCCAATCCCTTTTCGGCACTCCCGGTGCCGTTCCGGTGCTCCCCAATCCCTTTTTGGCGCTCCCGGTGCCGTTCCGGTGCTCCCCAATCCCATTTTGGTGCTCCCCAATCCCTTTTTTGCACTCCCGGTGCCGTTCCGGTGCTCCCCAATCCCGTTTCGGTGCTCCCCAATCCCTTTTTGGCGCTCCCGGTGCCGTTCCAGTGCTCCCTGATCCCATTCCGGTGCTCCCCAATCCCATTCCGGTGCTCCCGGTGCCGTTTTGGCACTCCCGGTGCCGTTCCGGTGCTCCCCAATCCCTTTTTTGCACTCCCGGTGCCGTTCCGGTGCTCCCCAATCCCGTTTCGGTGCTCCCCAATCCCTTTTTGGCACTCCCGGTGCCGTTCCGGTGCTCCCCAATCCCGTTTTGGTGCTCCCCAATCCCTTTTTTGCACTCCCGGTGCCGTTCCGGTGCTCCCCAATCCCGTTTTGGTGCTCCCCAATCCCTTTTTGGCACTCCCGGTGCCGTTCCGGTGCTCCCCAATCCCGTTTTGGTGCTCCCCAATCCCTTTTTGGCACTCCCGGTGCCGTTCCGGTGCTCCCCAATCCCGTTTTGGTGCTCCCCAATCCCTTTTTGGCGCTCCCGGTGCCGTTCCGGTGCTCCCCAATCCCGTTTTGGTGCTCCCCAATCCCTTTTTGGCGCTCCCGGTGCCGTTCCGGTGCTCCGGTGCCCTGAGCCAGCGCTCCCGCAGGTCCGGGGCTGGGCCCCACGATCCAGCTGGGCGAGCAGACGCTGATCACGGTGGACGCCAAGGCGGCCGGCAAGGGCAAGGTGACGTGCTCGGTGTGCACGCCCGACGGCTCCGAGGTGGACGTGGACGTGGTGGAGAACCCCGACGGCACCTTCGACATCTTCTACACCGCGCCCCAGCCCGGCAAATACGTCATCTGTGTTCGTTTTGGGGGGGAGCACATCCCCAACAGCCCCTTCCAGGTCATGGTGAGTGCAAATGGGGGAAAAACGGGGAAAAACAGGAAAAAAACAGGGTGAAAATGGGAATTATTGGGTGAAAATGAGGTAAAAATGGGAATTATGGGGTGAAAATGGGGTAAAAATGGGAATTATGGGGTAAAATACGTCATCTGTGTTCGTTTTGGGGGGGAGCACATCCCCAACAGCCCCTTCCAGGTCATGGTGAGTGCAAACGGGGGAAAAACGGGGAGAAACGGGGAAAAACGGGGTGAAAACGGGAATTATGGGGTGAAAATGGGAATTATTGGGTAAAATACGTCATTTGTGTTCGCTTCGGGGGGGAGCACATCCCCAACAGCCCCTTCCAGGTCATGGTGAGTGGAAATGGGGGAAAAACGGGGAGAAACGGGGAAAAAACGGGGTGAAAACGGGAAAAAACGGGGTGAAAATGGGAATTATGGGGTGAAAATGGGAATTATGGGGTGAAAATGGGGTAAAAATGGGAATTATGGGGTAAAATACGTCATCTGTGTTTGTTTTGGGGGGGAGCACATCCCCAACAGCCCCTTCCAGGTCATGGTGAGTGGAAATAGGGGAAAAACAGGGAGAAATAGGGAGAAAACAGGAAAAATGGGGGGAAAAATGAGGAGAAAATGGGGGAAAAGCTGTGGAATTTGGGGTGGCAATTGGGGCTGGGGGATTTGGGGTGCGCTGACCCTCGGTGCCCCCCAGGCCACGGACCGGCCGCTGCTGGGGGTCAATGGGCTGGACATGGCCGGGCTGCGGCCCTTCGACCTCGTCATCCCCTTCACCATCAAGAAGGGAGAGATCACAGGTGAGCCTCCAAAACAGCCCCAAATCAGTGTAAAAATATCCCCAAAACAGCCCTAAAAAATCCCCCAAATCCAGGTCAAAATATCCCAAATCCAGCCCTAAAAATCCCTCAAATCCAGGCCAAAAATATCCCAAATCCAGCCCTAAAAAATCCCTCAAATCCAGCCCCAAAATCCCCCAAATCCAGCCCCAAAATCCCCCAAATCCAGGCCAAAAATACTTCAAATCCAGCCCCAAAATACCTCAAGCCCAGCCCAAAAATATCCCAAATCCAGCCCTAAAATATCCTTCAACTGGCAGTAAAATATCTAAAATCCAGCCCTGAAAATACCCCCTAATCTAGCTCTAAAAATCCCCCAAACCAGCCCTAAAAAATCCCCCAAATGCAGCCCCAAATGCTTCCCTAAAATCCCCCAAATGCAGCCCCAAAATCCAGCCCCAAATCCAGCCAAAAAATATCCCAAATCCAACCCTAAAAATCCCCCAAATCCGGCCCTAAAAAATCCCTCAAATCCAGCCCCAAAATCCCCCAAATCCA